GCTGGGCGGCGCGCGCGGCTGGCTGCGGCGGCGGGCGGCGGGGGCGCCTGGCGCGACGTACCGGGCGGTGCCGGCGGCGCCGGGCGCGGCGATGGCGTCGACGTCGCGCGACGACCCCTTATAGTGAAGGCCGCCCGCCACAGACTTCTAGGCGGCCCGTTTTATAGTTTTGTACTCCGGCCCCGCCTGTCGGGCCGGCCTCGTCTCTTTATGATTTCTGCAAGTCTGATTTTTATTCTAGTCAGCTCTAGATTTAGCGATGGATCATTTGTATATTTGACGAGCGACGACGGTTCCTCGATTAGTTTTTGCACAAATACTTAGCGAGTCTAGTCATGTTTTGTACCGATGTCTGGTTCCTGAAGTTCGCGTCGGTGATTACTATCATTTACTCTTCGTCCACCGCGTATTGTTTATTTAAGTTTTGTATGTATAAGCCATTTATGCAATTATGAAATCATATAATAAAGTGTACACGGAATATATTCGAAGGGTTGAATTGTAAGCGAAGTATTTATGATTACGTTAAATAGTCACAATATAATTGTTGTGAATACGAAGCGTACGTCGTATCTTTATTTTGTCGTAAGCTTGTAATGACGGAGCAGATGGTTTGCATGATAATGTTATAATACTGTTCGTATTCAGTAAGCGTACATTATAGTTAGTGGTAAGAGAAGTTGGACATGTAACACAAGTTATGAATAGAAGAGTTTTATAAACTGTCCGATGTGGTCTCCCGCGAGCTTACTCCCCGCAGCGTGGCCGCGTGGCCCGAGTGCACCTCTGTTACGGTTTTCGATTAATATTCGTTTGTATGTCTTATACATATCACATGTAAGTATTGTTTGTCCCGTTGCGAGTGGCGCCGTCCCGCCGGGGGTGGCAGCCACTCGCTACTCACTCGGCCGATTGTTTAACGAGAACATGTGACAGGTGACCGCGATCTAATTATGTACGACTCATTTTTACTTTAGAGATTTTAATGATAATAATTATATGGTTTTATACAAATATTTGTGTTTATTTAAATCTACATCGTCCATGTGCAGTTAATTGAGGCGGATATCTTAGCAGGACCCGTCCACAACTCCGCAGCAGTGGCACGTTACGTTGACATGAAGTGCAAAGAACTACGGCAATAGTCCCATTTTTTTTTTTTTTTAAGGGGGGAAAATCATCGAATGACTGCTCCCGCCTGGGTGAGGCGGGAGGGAGTGTCAGACTCTTACTGACTAAAAACCACCCCGTTCCTTCTCCTGCACGTCGAGCCGGAGCCCCGGTTACCCGTTAGGTTCTCCGCGACTCCGAATCGGCATCGGCCCTATTGGGCCCCATCTGTGGTGGTCTGATGGCTCTTTGAGGCGCGCGCGGAACGCTCGGCGCCGTACGCTCGGGTCTGTTTCTGGTCGGACGGGGAGCCACCCATGCTCGCCGTCCGCAGGCCCGCGCTTACGGTGGCCGGAGATCGTCCCGCGATCCCCGACGCCCGGTGTGTCCTTCGCGATGGCTGGGTTGCGAGGAGGCAGCGCTTCGCTGCCTCACGCGTCCCGCCTCCTCCTTAGCTAGCATGACTGCTTCGCAAAAGGAGGAGACGGCATCCCAATCCCCCTCGCTCCGCATCATGGCCTGCACTAGGCCCGGACGCGAGAGGTCGCCATCGCCGATCACTTCCCTGAGGACACGGCGGTGCTCAGCCCACGCAGGGCATTCTCCCACAGTGTGTTCCACCGTGTCCTCAGGGCGGCCCTCGCAGTGATGACACCCGGGCGTTTCCTCCCGCCTCATCAGACACAGGTACCTCCCGAAACTACCATGTCCGGTGAGGACCTGCGTCAGGCGGTAGGTGAGGACGCCGTAGCGTCTCTCAAGCCACTCCTCAAAGAGGGGACTTACCGCTGCGGCAATAGTTCCATAGAAGCTACTGATACCAAATATTAGTACGTACGTTAACACTTTCATTACTACTACGATGTTGAACGATGTTTTCTCGGAGGCCGCCACATGTTAGTTGGAAGTAGAAAACAGACTGTGCGTTATGTAACCACCAAACTCTGTGTAAATATACTTCATCAAACACAGTTTCATATTTACTGAATGGTTGTGGAAAGTTTAAACTGAGACAAATACCAGAATTTGTAGCGTTTTCGAATAAATCATATAAATTAGTAGGTGCTATAGAATTTATTCCTGCAATTATCGAAACTGGCACAGGCCACTACAAATGTCATTATCTTACACCGAAAGATGAGATGTTCTGTTACGATGATTACGATTCTAAAATTCGTATAAGTACTAATTAGCCAATATTCATTCATTCTACCGCTAAAATGAAAAATGAAAAAATAAAAATGAATAAATCATCGAATGACTGCTCCCGCCTCACCTAGGCGGGAGCAGTCATTCGATGATTTTCTCTCCAACTGTCAAACACCAAGCGGTCACCGGTGACCGCAACCTAATGTTCTATAATTGTGTCTATAATGACGGTACTTGACGAGTTAAAAAAAGAAGTCCTGGAACCATCTCAGGTGGGGTCATGACCCACTCCTTAGATTCGCCCTTTAGTAGGTATAGAAGTATATACAGTACGACCGTATAGTGAGATCAGGTGCAGATCAGGACCACCGACCAACGGACTTACGAGCTTGCTATCAGAGGTGGAGGTGAGTGTCGGCACAAAAGAGTGGGTTCGACCCTAGTGATGCCATGCCACAGCATCAGAAAACCGGAGGACAATGGTCGCCAAGTAGGTAGTGGAAATCCCTGCCGCGGAATCTGTTTCCAATAAAATACAACTTGGGTGTCGTCAAGTCCCGATTGAACAGGTTGCTCATAGGTGCGTGCATAATAGTCGGCCTGTTCAATTTTATTGTCAGCCGTAATTTAAATTAGTTCTAGAACACTTTAGTTCCTATTTTGAAACTAGATGGTGTAGTTAGTTTCAAGTCCATTTTCTGAATCGCGGTGTCAAGATTCTCCGCCGATTAATGATCCTCGGTGAATGTTTATGCTTAGTTCAATAGATCATAAGAAGATCATCAGTTTTACCTAATGATATACTTACGGGTGTTAAATAAAACAGTGGTTTGTGTAGTATCCCTGAAGAAATCCCTGTTCAGTCAGATTGGCAGTAGTCGTGAAGTTCAGTGCGCCGCCGTGACAATTATACACGGCCACATCATCAACTGTCAAACACCGCGCGGTCACCGGTGACCGCACAAATGTACCTACTCTGTGGTGACCGCAACGTATTGTTCTTTAATTGTGTCTTTAATACATAATGTTAATAAATAAATTACCTTAATATATTATAGCTTGCAGGTTCTTGTGAAATGGGATTAAAAATGATTAAACACAAATTTATATCAAAAAGTATAATGTACATCAACCAACACCATGTTTGTAAAACAAGTTTGTTTAATATTGAGACAGATACGCAGCTTACTGTGGAACTTAACACAGGCACGGATACCTATTCATACTACCCTCTCATGAAAACTGTATTATGTTTAAAAAATTAGGTACAAACTATTATGATAATTAACTGCCACTACTTTGTATGGCTGTTGATTCCTAACTTCTGACAGATAGGAACCTATCATAAGTTGAAAATCAGAAATAGGTTTAAGTAATAGGTAGGTATTATGACCTTCAAGGTGAATTTTAAAATTGTTTATTTTATGAATTTTATAAAAGGTTACCTGAAGAAAAAAAATAGAAGTAGTGAAATGAGTACTTACAGCGGTTCATGTGTGATGCCATCACAAAGGGAAATTGATATTTTAAGAGTGGTTAGCATTGTTTACAGTTACCATTTTATAGTTGTAGGTATACAGATTTTTCAAGAATTTCAGTGAAGAGGGCTATAGTTACCTACATGTAAGGCACCAAATAAGAGATTACAAAATGTTTAGTTAGACAATTCTGGAATGTACATTGTTTAAAATATATGTATTGTGGTAGATGAAAATAAATAGCGCTGTGTGGCTAATGGCTTATGCCACTACATGTTTACATTTTTTTTTACTTTACATTCGATTGCAAGAGACTAACAAAATTATACCATTAAATTGAGAAACTAATGATTGTAGGTATTTATAATAATAATTTTACAAAATCTGCTCAAGTATTCAGTACCTAGTATTTTTTACTAAGTGTTATTATGATTAGCCAAAACATTAATTAACTATTCTATGCATTTGCAAAATACTTTTGTATGGACTCTACCAGGCTTTCTGCCTTTGGGGTGGCTGCAATCCCAGCTACTTCGACCCCAAGATTCTCAATTTTGTAAGCAGTCGAGTTGCCAATAGCAAAGTGTGGCAACTCTGACAGAACATTGCTGAAGGTCTGTAGCTGGCGGTGTATGTACTCACATCCAGATGGACTGAAGAATACCATGCAGCATGGACAGTCTGCCTCATTAAGTTCCATCAAGTCTGTTCTTAGATTTTTGTTTTCTGTTGTTTCATACACAGTCAGTGCATCAACTGAGATGCTAGATGACTGTAAAATAGTTGGCAAAACCTCAGATCTCAGGTTACCGCATGGAAATAAAAACCTGGAGTTAGCAGGATTTTCTTGAACAATCAGTTTAGCTAGATTTTCAGCATTTCCTGAAGACATACCCATTGCTTCTAACCCAAGCAGCAGCTTAATCTTGTGACAACTACTATCACCTATTGTGTAAACTTTTTTTGTGTTCCATATCACAAACCGTGTTGGATCCCAGCATTTGGAGACTGCTTCAATGGCTCTTGGACTTGTGAATACAATGCCTGTGTAATCCTGAAGAAGTTTTTCTGTCAATTCTTGTTTACAAGTTAACTCGAACTGCAGCGGCTCCACAAACACAGTTCTGTAGTTACACTCGTGAAATGCTTTCACATAGTCTTCCGACTCTTTCTTGAATAATACTACTTTTTTCATGATTGCATGGATAAAGACAATTATAAAATAAATAATTCACCTCCACATAACTGTTCACCCTGATTAAAGTACAACAGCTTGGAATATATTATATTCATCGCAATATGAGAAAACAAGTTTGAAGGTAGGTGTTGGTTGAGATTAAAAGAAAATACCTAGTTTACATCTTAGTTTTATTAGCACACATCAATATTTTTTTCTTCATTAATAATTTTTATACTAGGTACCTAGTAATATAAGATAACTAGTAACTTGATTAGCTTGATAGATTATTGACATATATCATATATTGTAAACATATTTAGGTACTAAATGAAACGATTTTGTATCAAATCAACTCTCAAGTGTCACTGTCACAGTGTCACCTGTCACTGTCATGTGCCACCAATACGAATGTATTAAATAACTCAATGGTCATTGGGTAACTAGAAGAATAATCTTATACCTCAGAGGTATAGTCAAACTGGCTGGCGTGACCAAACTTAAATGGGAGTAAAAGATAATCTTACGTCTCTTAGACGTACTCCGTTATTCAAACAGCATTTTTAACAAACTACAACTTACTTGTTATATTTTCCCTTGATTTCAATCAATCTTGATTTGATTCAATCTTTAAGAATTATAATTCTGTTTGAACAAATTAAATTACTTATTTTTAAAATGAAATATACAAATAAGAAATATTATGAAACAGCTTCTCCATTTAATCATAAAACGTTCAATTTTATAATTAAAGAGAACTCCACAGTCGTTCACATAGCAACCCCTATAGCGCGACTTCAGTATTATTACCTTATATTAGGGGATTACTTTATACTAGAAGTAAACATGAATTACTGATAACATTTTGACTAGTGAATCGAAAATGAATTATGTATTAACATAGTTTTCATAATGACACTGATTATATCTACAAAAAAAAAACCAAAAACTAATAACAAACAAAAAGTCAAAACTAAAAAGCAAAAAATAACTGTTATTAATTCTGATAGGTTACCCACCCACTGATAGCTTAGAAGTCGGTGCCATAAATTAAGTTCCATAAAAAAATATTCATTAAAACCTTAATTGGTACCTAATTCATAATTATATTATTAAGTTATATTATTATGATATGAGCTTATGGCACCGACTCAGTGGGTGGGTAACCTATTAGTACCAATAACAGTTATTTTTTGATTTTTAGTTTTGACTTTTGATGGTTATTAGTTTTTAGTTTTTTAAAGTCGGTTTTTTAAACGCAGTTTTAATTTTATTATTTTATCATTTTCAGTGTAAAGCTACATATACCCGTTTTGTTACTTACAATCTACAAAGGTCCAAAGTTCTAATCAATACAAATTATACAAGCCCAAATACAAGGTAGTTACAGTATACCGTTGAGGAGTTCCCTTAACAACTACACTTCTTCATCATCAGACCCTTAATGACAGCGCCACTCTATCTAGGTGTTAACTCCTCATCAATACAAATGAATCAAGCCCAAACACAAGGTAGTTAATATAAACCGCTGAGGAGTTCCCTCGACTGTCTGTCGGCTCCATCATCAGGTCGAGTCCAGACCCTTATCAAATTGTAGTGTTTAAAAATCGTCATTGAAAAACAAAATAGACGCATTACTCGCCCATAGAATTTTCGAAAGTTCCCCTCAGTTTCCCTAGGATCCCATCATCAGATCCTGACCTCATGGAAATGGGACCATCTCGGGAGTATACCCTTTCAAACAAAACAAGAATTTTGGAAATCGGTTCATAAATGGCGGAGTACTGCGCTAACAAACAAAAAAAAAAACAATCAGCCGAACATAGTAACTACCTCCTCCTTTTTTTGAAGTCGGTAATGAACTAAAAGCGGTACTTTTGTTCTAAGGAAATAATACTTTAGGTACTTAACTTTTACCCTCAAATATTTTAATATTAGATTTTTTTGAGTTACGTTAGCGCAATGCAAATATTCAGTATTTATCAATATTTCAAATGAATACACACAATAGTAGGTAACTAAGAGAGTATGTTTTCAAAGTGTTATTTCAAATAGATAGATCGATTAATTTATTCATGAATACTTTGCTATAAATAAAACTTAAAGAACTTCTCACATGAGTTTGGGAACCTTACATACCTAACTCATAATAATGCGTGCAAATAACGTTACTGTGGGTACAAAGCATGCGTTGTTTTTTTATAAAACATTTAGCAACAATGAAATTAAATTACTTGTATTGAATTCACACCCACGATAGTAATTACTTCGCAGAATGTTTCAAAACACAGCAAATCCCCAAATGCTACTTTACACATCATTATCTAATTGCCAGATTTTTTTTATTTATATTAAAATTTCGTTTTAATCTGGCTATTGTACATTTCTTATTTCAAATATCACGAAATAATAATAATTACCCAAAATCAAACATAACTCCAATAAAGGCTTGGTATAGGCTACCAAGCCTTTTTATTATATATAGCAGTGCTACCAAGGGGCATTGCTATATAATAGCAATAAAAATCTACGCACGGAGCCTTCTCGTCATACATACGTCTCGCGGATGTACGACAAATCTGTGTCTAAGTACTTACTTGGACTTTGAGTATTTATCGTGTCACTACTGCCTATAATTGCAAGGCGTGATAGCCATCTATCTTGGCACAAACGACAAAACCACTACAAACTTATGATAAAGAAATAAATACGAAGATTTACCACGACATATGCTTCGCAGACATAGATTATAGAAAAAGGGTGTACTATCGAAAGATGCCGGTTTCGATGGTACGTAACCACGATTTCGGTTGTTTACGAGTAACAGTCTGAATGTACTATACTCTTTGGTTTGAATGTTGGCTTTTCCAGTTCTTAATTTTTATTTTGTACTTGACAGTATCTTATACGTTTAGTTACTTCATCACTAGGTATATAGGTAAAAAAGCGGATGTCCTGTAAATTCTGAAGAAAAAAAATTTGAATGTGTCAGAAACTAATAATAACAGAACTGTAAATAAATTGTTAGCAACAACAAAACACAAATGTACGACCAATTTTATGTTTATAATTCTGTGCAGTGATCTCTAGTTATCGTGGTGGACGGATGTTGGCTACGAATGGCACTCAGCGGTTGTTCGAGCGGACTGGTGGTGACGGCGGTGGTGGCGCTGCTGCTGCTGCCGGCGCAGTACTACGTGCCCGACCTGTACACCGGCGTCGAGGACCCGCTCGCCGCGTCCGACCAGCTCGACTCGCCCGCCGCCGCCTTCGGGTGGCTCGATCTAGCGTTCGTTCACTTGCCGCCGCTTGATCTATTCGTCACAGTCTCTTTGTTGGCGTTAGGAATGTTAACATACCTATGCGAGTGGATACAGAGGAAGCTGATGGAAAGAAGAATTGTAAAGGTGGGTCACATCGTTCAGCGCAACACAAGATAGCCGGTCTTGTAGGTGTTACGGGATACTACCTATTAACAAACGTCAGCGATACACTTGATATACGTAGGGATTTTACACAACCAACATACAACGGTGCCTACATCTATAATATAAACATGAATGGCTGAATGTGTTGCTCTCTGCACTGAACAGATTGCGCCAATTCCTTTTGGTTGGGTTTATTGTTGTTAGGAAAAGGTTCTTAAGTAATACAAAATCCAAGGCAGAACTAAGTTAGGGTCTCGGTGTGTCTGTAACGTGATAGACCGAGGTAGACCTAGACACGTCGTGTCGCGTTGCAGCTGAACCAGTACTTGGGCGCGAGCGTGGAGCGGCTGCGCGCGTGGGATGCGCAGCAGGAGCAGTTGGAGGTGACGCTGAAGATGGTGCAGAACGCGACGTCGGAGTACAACCTGCTGCTGTACCTGCTGCTGCGCCAGCACCGCTGCCTCGCCGCGCACACCGGCCCGCCCTCCAACTGCTTCTTCGACAAAGGCCTCGAGGAAGATCTCACTTTTTTAAGAAATCCCACGCTCGACGCGTAGTGCGTGTCATCACGCGTTTATTATTTAATAATTATAGTGTTGACTTGTTTACATTGTCGTTTTATTTAATAGCTTTTACTTAATCCTAGCTTCAGCCGGCGACTTGGTAGGTAAATGTCGTTATTGCCATGTTATGTTGACAAACCTTCAAACCTTCAAGAAAAGAGCGTACTTCTTTTTAAAAGGCCGGCAACGCACCTGTGATGTTGGCAACACCTTCTGGTGTTGCGGGTGTCTATGGGCGGCGCTGATCGCTTACCATCAGGTGATCCGTCTGCTCGTTTGCCTCCTATTCCATAAAAACAAATAGGTTCGTATCGGGGCCGAAACATGTACCTGCACCGTGATCAACGCCGTGTCACCAGGCCCAGATCTGCTGAATCAGGACATTACCTATCACCTACGTTGATGCAACGAAGGTTCTACGGAGTATTGCAATATTCGAACTGCTGAGTCGTCTCCTCTTGTCGCCGCCTTGTCCGTCGGTGCTCGGCTGGGGGTATGGTTAAGCGCAGTATTCTAGAGTTAGTCAGTAAGACTGACACTCGCTTCCGCCGTACCCTGGCTGGGAGGAGTCTTTTGATATTCGTTACGTGGTGCAAAGTAGGTTCTCTTCATGTGGAAGCGACCGGTGCCATGGCGACGTCGACCGGCGGGGTCATGTTTGACATTACAGAGCTACTACGCTAGAAGTATACCTGAGACAGATGAGGTATATAGTTACGTAGTGTACTAGCCGTGTTTCATGCCATTACCTTCGGTGTGAAGTAGAGCACAACGAGGTCGACGTATGATGATTGAATATCGCACACCGCTCCACGCGGCACGGGTGACGTGATTATATTGGTATATAAGAGATCGTGCTCTCAGTATATTTCGGTCATATCTCTCAAACAGGTGCCAATTGTAGAAATTGGTGAAGTGTTAAGTGATATTGAAAATATCATTCAATATCACTTTTAATTGAAATCACGAGTTACTCACGTGAATACACTGAGAAAAGCTCTACTAGTTTTGAATCACAGAGGGGTTCTTCCTCATGAGCAGCGTGTGCGGTCGCGGCGACGTCGACACTCGTCGACACTCCAGACTGGAGACGCTGAGGATCAACGTAGACAGCAAGCATCCAAGCTCGGCTTCCACGCGGGTGGCAGTGCCCAGCCACCATCCCCGTTGAAGCTACAACACTGACTTTGTGCCGAACTCGGAATCGAACCCACTACCCGCGCCGCTGGTGAACGTACTGTGCGCTTTAACATCGTCCAACGCGCCATCGGAGTTGAAAGCAAATGCTCGTAGTGTCCGACAGAGGGCGCGTAGCAACACCGAGGCGAGCGCCAACGCCAGCCAGTGAGCTCTCAGTATTATTGTATAGTCTATGCAGTGAGCTGCGCGACGTCGCCGCGACCGCGCACGCTGCTCATGAGGAAGAACCCCTCTGTGGTTCGAAACTAGTAGAGCTTTTCTCAGTATATTCACGTGAGTAACTCGTGATTTTAATTAATTTAGTATGTCTCACGATTGTTATTATAAAAAATATCACTTTCGGTGTGCCACAGGGGTCAATTCTCGCTCCCTTACTGTTCCTCATTAAACTGTCAAACACCATGCGGTCACCGGTGACCGCAACCTATTGTTCTATAATTGTGTCTACAAAACCGGTACTCGACGAGTTAATATAAATGATATAGATAGATGACACAAGTTTATTTTACTTCGGCTCCGAAATTGACCCAATAATTAATCAAGCTCAGGAGGAACTAGACTGCCTTTACAAATTTTAATGGTTACAGGAAAACTTGTTGACTATAAATATACCAAACAAAAGTAATTCGATATTAAAGTAAAGCCTTCCAAGTGTTTGTTACATTTTACTGAAAACCTGCCAATAGCAACAATCGAGCACAAACATAAAAAAATTAAAATTAAAATGTGTTTATTTATTTCTTTAAATCTGTACAATTAAGTTGCCGAGGCTTCCCAGAAAGTAATCCGAAGATACTTGTGATGGGTACAAGTTACACATTTTTATAAAACAACTAGCGACCCGCCCCGGCTTCGCACGGGTGCAATATGCATGTATTATACATATAAACCTTCCTCTTGAATTACTCTATCTATTAAAAAAACCGCATCAAAATCCGTTGCGTAGTTTCAAAGATTTAAGCATACAAAGGGACATAGGGACAGAGAAAGCGACTTTGTTTTATACTATGTAGTGATAAAAGAAAGAAATAAAAATTTGAAAATCGTGTTAATGGCTGTGTGTGAAAACTAGAATGTATGTTATGTAAATGTATGTTTTACGCGTGTTTGTGTTTGAGTGTATTATTGTGTGAGTGTGTGTGTGTGTGTGCGTGTCTGTATGGCGTTCAACCCGGAGCCGCCAGAATGCCCTCCATCGCGTCATAATCAAGTGTGAAGAGTCATTCCGTCATTGTCTTCTTACACTCATACAACTGCATAGGGTAAATATTTTTTTTAAGGGGGGATAATCATCGAATGACTGCTCCCGCCTGGGTTAGGCGGGAGGGAGTGTCAGACTCTTACTGACTAAAAACCACCTCGTTCCTTCTCCCGCACGTCGAGCCGGAGCCCCGGTTACCCGTTAGGTTCTCCGCGACATAGGGTAAATATTAAGGATGCGATTTACTCTATTATAAACGCGAGGGGCTTGAGTTACATTTTGACGACTAGCAAATATTGAACGTGCTGAGTATGTAGGGGCTATAATGTCCTCCTAAACTTGTCCAAGATCTTAGCAGAGAAGATAATAGCGCTATCATCCGCGTAGGACAGTATCCTCGCCCCGTTGATACTAAGGTTACAGAGTTCGGTAAAATAAATCAGAAAGAGCGTCGGGCCGAGGACACTGTCCAGTGGGCGCCAAAGGTTACGTTCTTCTCATCACTAACATGGTTTAAAATTGTTACCCCCCTGTTTTCTGTTTTGTAGGGAACTGCTGCCTGAGGAAAGAGAGAGCAGAACCTCCAAATCCTAAGTTCTCCAGCCTGTGTATAAGTTTAGAGACAGAGACGGTATCAAAGGCTTTCTTAAGGTCAAGAAAGACCACTAGGCATTTGTTCCTCCGTAGCGTCCTGGGCCGATATTTCTCTTCTAAAGCCATATTGAGAGGAACACAATACGTTGTACTTGGTCAGGTAGTTAACTATTCTAGAGTTCAAGAGCTTCACAATGATTTTGAAAATGGAGGTCAACACAGAAATTAGCCGACAATTGTCTTTATCTCCATTCTTATACACAGGGGGAACAACACTCCATTCTGCTTGCTGTTCTACTCCACGCTACACGGCACGTGCAAGAAGCTGTCACACACATCATAGCTACGAGCGATTGTAAATCTACATCTCCGGTATCGTAGCTCGTAGCGCGTAGAGCGTAGCTCGTAGCTCGTAGCGCGTAGAGCGTAGCTCGTAGCTCGTAAAGCATAATTCGTAGCACATGGTGAGTAGCTCGTGCATAGTTCGTAGCATAATTATTATGGTGTGTAGCCCGCAGTGCGTAGGTCGTAGCACATGGTACGTAGCTCGTAGTGCGTAGGTCGTAGCACATTGTACGTAGGAAGTCGTAGCTCGATTGAAGCGCGTAGGTAGCTCGTAACGTAACGAATATTGCGCAGCGGTCGCGCTGTACCACCTTTTTTTTTTGATAATGGCAGGAGACTTTCAAAAGGCGTCTTGCTTTTTTAGGGAGAAAAAGCTAGGGAGTGTGGGATTCCTACCTCACAAAAATCAGCACCGCCACCATCCTCACTTATAGGGGGCACCGAGTCCTCTATAATAGATCTGCTACGGAACCCACATGGTCTAATGCCTGTTCCATCACATCCCTATTAAGCCTCGCTGGGCACGTGACCACTGTGCCATCGTCTTCCCTGAGGTCAAGGGTGGACGCCTCGGGGTCACGGGCGGGGTTAGGTCAGAGTACCCACTCTGGGCGCCCGTGACCCCAAAGGCCTGCCTGCGGGTAATGCAGGCATGATATCGGCGGGTTAGGCGCCAAGGCGGGTACCTCCGCCCTTACTACGAGCAGGATCGGCCCTCTCAAAATCCCGCTTAGCAGCCTCTTATTGAGACATTACTGTCTCACAAAAGGAGACCACTTCCCACCAATTTCTTGTATCTGCCAGCATAGCCTTAACTATTGCTGGCAGAGACAGGTCTCACCCGATCCTGGCGACCAGGATCCGCCGCTCAGAGGCCCATGTGGGGCCGCGCTGTACCACCTTTCTGTGTCCAACTTCCCTCGCAACCAAAACAATTCATTACCAACATTTTAACGTCCAAGAACTGTGCTCTACTGAGACTGGATGCCAGTGGATGTCATGTATAGCAAAGCCATGCGGACATAATGCACTATCTTGCAACGGAAACGAACTATAATAATTAACTATGTCAACAAAATCACAGTAAGTAGTTGGAATAAAAGCTGTATTAAATCGTGGTGTCGCGGTCGTGTGGCGCCGTGCTCGCCGCGCTCCACAGTCGCAGCGGGCGGCACCGCACTGGCACGCGACTCGACTGCCGCGTGACGTCACGCGCGCCGCCCGCCGCGGCCCCGCGCCCCCGTGCCCCCGCTCTCGCGCCCGCGCCCTTACACTCTCGCCCCACGCCTCGCTTTCCCGCGCCGCGCCGCTGCTCTTCAGCGTTACAGTCGATAAGAGTGCTCCCTACACCAGGAGCTCGCTACCATTTTCTGCTCATTTCTGAATAATTTAATTACAACATTTTTACATGCACTTTAAAATATTCCATTTTTTCTTTTCTTTGGGAGGGGAATCATCGAATGACTCCTTCCGCCCGCACCCTGGCTACGAAGAGGCACTATTAGACTGTTACAGATGAGTAACTACATATATGTGTTGATGTATATCATACTTGTTGATGCGATTAATTCAGTGTTAATATTAATTATATAACATTATATAAATAAATAAAGAGCTAACCATTCATTCTCTCACCAAAAGTAAATGTAAAGAAAGCGTCAGCGACTGGCTAAATAAACTAGACTATGAGGAGACTGAAAAAAATCTGAGACCACTTTCCTAAGCTACAAATGATGCAGAATTATCAATCACTACATTCATATCAACACTTCCACCTCATTCACTTACCTATACACACCCACACATAATACACATCAACTCACTCACTAACATACACACGCACTCACACTACATTGTGACACACCCACAGTAAATACTCACTCATACAATGTTGTCCATTTTCTTTAGTTAAGTAAATACTTTATATTGTTCAATGTCTCCGGGGGTCACCAGGGCCTGGTGATCTGTAACAAGGGTTATACCTGTAACAGACAACAGTCTCTTAGTTGTAACATATTAAATAATTTGTATCCGTAGAGTATTTTTTATTATGTGTCTTTACCATTCACGGGACCACAGGGTCCCGGTCATTTGGGAGGCGTACGAGGGGCCGAAGCCAACTGCGCAGAGGCCCTTTAGACAACTTTAATCTAAATATAATGGAGACATAAACCAGCCACTATCCCTGTATAGATGCACTATGGAAATGCACCCAAGGACAGTCCCCGGTTAGTGTAGGACTATTGTGGATAATGGAAAAAAAAAGGTAGGGCTATGGATGGGTTGCTGTGGACTGGTAAATTGGGAACTATGGATGACTATGGCACCTGCCGAAACAATGTAATTTTTACACGTAAAAATGGCAGGCGGAGACTCGCCAACTCACCGACCGGACCCCGGGAATGGTTGCTAGTTATAGCAACAGAGGGGCAACGAGAATGTGAGTGGCTGAAGGGTTAAGAAACTACCACCGCTTTCTACGCAGATCATCTGCTCCAGCCGAAGCCTCCTGCATCCCTGGCCCACTTGCGACTTACGAATAGTTTCTTACCCTCCGAGCAGGATCACTGCTCTCGCGACTCCACTCTGGACGGCTAATGAAGGCAAGCCAGAGGTGGGAGACCTATTTCTTGTCATCGTTCACTCCAGCCAGCCAATTAAGACAAGCCGGAGAAGAAGGAACGGTGACTTCTCTCTGGAGCACTCGGGATGATGGTAGCCCGCGGGATCGCTAATGCCCGTCACCTCGCCTCAAGGTGCTTTTTTTTTTAAGGGGGGAAAATCAAGATACCCTGTGGGCTTATTATTATTATTATAGATATTTTTAACTGAATTCTGTAATGACACATATTTTTATTGTCGAAATCGCGGCTGAAGCCGCGTTGGTAAAAGCTAGTATAAGATAAGGGACAGCACGGAGAGCACAGCTCCTGTACTGCGGCCGAACGCCGCGCGCCGCGCGCCGCCCGCGTCCAGTCGCCGCGCGGCCTCCGTCGCGCTCGGTCGTGCTGCGTCGTGTCGGCGCGTGCGTGTGCTTGCAGTGCGTGCCAGTGTGAGTGTGTGCTGCCAGGACAGCCAGCACCAAACCGTGCCCTACAAGTATTTAGTTTATAACAACCGTCAGCTGCACTGCTAACCCTTAAGCGACAGAATAAAAACGACATTTATACCCTTCTGCTGAGACAGGCGAGTTACAACACATACCAATAACACCAAGTTTAATCGTCATTTTTACTTAATCTATTACAATATAGACAGGACGCAGACGCAGCACTAGTTACGAAGAATTTAGTTCGAAACTAACTTTGGGCACATGAAGCGCCGCGCGCCCGCCGAGACCCTGGACGGCCTGGAGGCACTCTCAGCGCTCTATAACTGCTACGTACGAGTAGAACTCTCCAACCGGCCAGGAGTCGGTCCAGTAGTTGGTCAGCAGCACGTACTAACTGCCCCTGCACACTACCAGCACCGTCATCAATCATCAAAGGATTTCAGACTTTATTTTAGATGCAAGTTTCAAAATAATAAATAGGTACCTATATGTTCACATCGATAACAAAACTACTACGTCCATGGCAGAGTCGGATCTCAAGTCTAGCTTCCCTATTCAAAGAAAACTGGATTGGAAGATGTCTAAATTAGAAATATACATACATAGAAGAAGATGTTAATGTGTCTGTACTTTTATAATTAACTAGCTTCTGCCAGCCTGCGGGGCGGGCAACCTAACATTCGAAAAACTTATATTTGCGTATGGTACAGTAAATGTGTCTAGGGATCGAGCCGCACTATTAAGTTACATTTTTCGTGTATATACTACCCAGTATTGTGTCCAGGATATTAAAGTATAATCATACGAAGATTCATCGTAATCGGACCCACAGTTTGTGCGTGATGCGTGAACAGACACACAGACAGACAGACAACATTTTTTAATAATATTTTTGGATTCGGTGTCTATCTAGTAACACCCTCTATTTTTTTTTCATATTTTCACTGTACAGAATTTATACTTTGTACCTATAGTTTTATAGTAGTTAGTAGGTAACAGTAGTTATGTAGGATGTATAGATAAAGATACGTAAATAGTTTCTTTATTTGTTTTAGTACGCGACGGCTTAGGGAAGAATGTTGTTGTTCAAATGTGACCTGACTACATATTATGTACATACGAACACAATATTCACAGCTCTGTACCTTAGAGAAGGCATTCATTCGATACATATACTTGGTTAAGTACTCACAAATTTAGTAGGTACCTATAAAGTCAAAGTAAACGCATTTGTTTTAATTAACCCCGTCTGTCAGTGAAGCTAGGCGCTCGTTCCCAAGTGTAGTTTCGAATGGAGAAGACCGAGCAAGAAACTACACCGTTAAGTACTCTTTAAAAAAAATGTTTTTACAATTTCATTAATACGATCCAGTATTTGATATCTTCTACCTATTGTAGGTACATAACCTATATGTGAGAACAATGTAACGACAATACAACGACAAAATTAATGGGACTACAGAATCAACTCCTGAAAGAAGCTATGAACGATTGTTTCAAACATGGCGCCCACATAATTATGTACACTTACACTTTGAAATAATGCTTCTACACTACACAAAGAAAAATCTTTGTTAAGTCTTTCAAATCAAAAATAAATGTACGATGTCAGAAACTAAAACCAAGATAATTATTATTATTCGTTGTATTCAGCTATCCACAATGCCCACTGAAAGTTAGTCAGTTAGTTAGTCGGAGCCCCAACTCGCAAACACTATTTATGAAAACTGAAGGTCATCGCACACCAACAAGCATGGCTCCAGCACGGGCTTTACTTTATGGTGTTTGAAGTCGGTTTTATGAACACAGTTTTATTTATATTTCTTACTTTTTAGTTTAATACGTAGTTATAAGGAAATAATGAAATAAGTGGAGGCATACCTGACAAATCCTAAATATTGAGATTACCTTGTAGCCCCGAGAACATTTTTCTCGATCCAATAGTTGGTATAATTTGAAAAAAAAATTTCAAGGTCCTAACCATTGAGGAGTAGTACCTTCCATCATCAGCTCATTGATATAAAATGATGATCATCAGACGCAAATGGTCGAATACCTTTATAAAATTGTCAGAATAAACGTAAAATGTACTTATAATTCTTAAATTAGAATAAATTATAACTTATAAATCTTAAATTATATATTCATGAGCTGAACTCATCTCCAGATGCTGCAGATCACCAAGTGACAACAGTAACAACTCTAAAGTATACCGAAACATTCAAAACATATAAGCACATAAAAAAATAAAACTGCGTTTAAAAAACTGACAAAAGGAAAAACAAAAGCAAAAAATAATTACTGCTAGGAATTTAAAATAGCAGGTTACTCACTCACTGATAGCTTAGAAGTCGGTGCCATAAGTTCTAAACATTATTCTAATATTTACAATTTTGTGACCATTAAGTGAAATTATTTTGATATGATAATAATTATGGCAGCTGTCAGGCAATAAATCCTTTAAAGGCATTTTGTACTGCCTCTCGGGTATTGCATTTGTTTCCCGCCCCGAAGTTATCCAAATCCTGGAAAAGTAGTAGTCTGTGGGATCAAGGTCTGGTGAGTAGGGCGGATGACATAAAGTTTCCAACCCCAGTCCTTGGGGGACCGTCTGCTGTGCAGTATGAGGTCGCGCGTTGTCGTGCAGGAACAGCGGGGACGAGCGATTGACCAATGCTGGTTGGGGATGTGCCAGCTTCTCCATCATTGTGTTCAGTCCTTCACAATACACATCTGCTGTAATGCTTATTCCGTTTGGTAAGAAGCTGTGATGAATCACACCGGCCGGCGGTAGGCCACCAAACAGTGACCATCACTTTCCTAGGGATAAATTTTTGTTTAGGGCATTGTTTAGGTGCTGAACTAGGATCTAATGAACTCGCTGAGCGCTTACGGTTATCAACTAATCAAACAGAATCCATTTTTCATCGTAGCTTGGTTAAAGATTCCTTCATTTGTGTGTCTGTTGAGCAATGCAGGGCACGTCTCGACGCGTACATCGCGCCGCCGTCTGGCGGTCACTGAGTTCATGGGGCACCCATAGTAAAAATTTTGTTTTCTTGTCAATTTGATGCAAATGGCCCAATATTGTTTTGACGCAAACTTCGAAAGCTGCTGCTAATGCAGCCGTAGATTGTGTATCATCAGCTTCCAAAATCGCCTTTAATTCGTCATTGTCGACCAAAGTCTTCGGATGACCGCGAGGTTCTTTTTTCAGGTCGAAATTTCTAGAACGGAAGCGAGTAAAGCAATAACAGGTGGTGCGTTTGTTTGTAGTGTATCTCTGTAAACGTCGTTGATGTTGCATGCCGCTTGTGCCGTGTGCTGCCACGACGGTACTTATATTCCATAATAATTACTCGAATTTTTAACGTATCCATCATGACGAAAAAAATTGAAACGCGATGAAAATGTAACACTAATCAATAATGAAATGACTACATTTGGAATAAAAACCATATTTTTAAAATAAAATTAATTTGAAATTAGAACTCTTAGCCAAACAAAAGATATTTTTTAATGGAATGGCCAGTACTGCAGAACCGCAATTCCATAAAGATCTAATAATATATTACATCAGAAGCGTTTAGATCTTCTTACCATACTCCAACGAGGAATATGAAATAATTTTTGACTGAGGTAACTACCCAATTGTGTTGCAGATTGCAAGCCGGGTCACAAGCGGGTGCAGCGGCGACATGTAGAGCGGCGCGGCAGTCCAGCAGCGTGGATGGCGCGCGCATGCGTGGCGCTGCTGGCCGCGCTCGCCGCCGCCGCCGGGCCGCCGACCACGCGCGCGCCCACCGCGCCCGACGCGCCCGACGCGCCCGACGCGCCCGACGCGCTGGAACTGGCCGAGGTGGCGGAGGTGCCGGCGTGGCGCGAGCTCTGGTACGGCTCGCTGGAGGCGCTGCACCGCGAGCCCAGCATCAATAACACGCAGGAGGACGTGCTCGTGCAGCTCGGCGCGGTCGCCTTCCTGCACTGTCCAGTGCGCAACCTCGGCGAGCGTGGCGTCAGTACCCCTGCAGAGCTTACCGCCGCGCTGCGGCCAGCCAGCCGGCGCGCCATCTAACCGAGTCTTGTGTGCAGGTGTCGTGGGTGCGCCGCCGCGACTGGCACATCATCAGCTCCGGGATGCTCATGTACACTAACGATGAACGCTTCCAGGTACAGCGCCCCGTCACCACAGCCCTCTCCATGGGTTTCAGTCCAGTACTACACACACTGGCGCATGTTTCAGGTGCTGCACAGTGAGGGCTCCGACGACTGGATCCTGCAGATTAAGTACGTGCAGAAGAGAGACAACGGTACCTATGAGTGCCAGGTGGGTACTGAATGCGTGGGGCTTTATTTTTATTCCCATTAGTCCCCCTTAGTCCACGTACGAAACGAAAAACATTGTGTAAAAAAACTAGCCAATTCTCGATGGAGCTGCTTGTTCATCTTTAAAAAGTAAGCTAAGGCTAAGGTTCCCTATTGCGATTTCTTCATTATTATAGTTGAGATAGATGTAACGCTATACAATGCTTGTGTTAGTGGCGAGTGGGTGACGTATCGTGTCGTTGCAGGTGTCGACGGGCGGCGGCACGCTGTCGCGGCTTGTCCACCTGCACATTGCGGTGCCGGAGGCTTTTATCCTCGGGGCCGACGAGCACCACGTGGACGCCGGCTCCACCATCAACCTGGTCTGCATCATTGAGAAGGTATACTCGCGTATTGCCAGCGATTTCTGTCCCCGGCAAACTATTACAAGTCGTCCGGTTGTGTGCACAGAGCCCGGTGCCGCCGCAGTACGTGTTCTGGTACCACAACGCGCGCATGATCAACTACGACGCAGCACGCGGCGTCACCGTGCTCACGGAGCCGGGGCCCAAGACGCAGTCGGCGCTGGCCATCCGCTCGGCGGGCCCGCAGCACTCGGGCAACTACACGTGCTGCGCCGCCAACACCGAGCCCGCACACATCTTCGTCTACGTGTCGGAAGGCAGTGAGTAGCGCGTGCGCAGCCGGCGGCGGCGCAGGGACGCGCGAGTGACGCGCGAGTGATGCGCGAGTGACGCGCGAGTGACGCGCCGTGTCGGCCGTGTGTTGCAGGCGACACCATGGCGGCCACGCTGAGCCGCAGCAAGGCGCGCGCGCCCCCCGCCGCGCCCCCGCCCGCCCGCGCCCCGCTGCTGCTGGCGCTTGCCGCCGTACTCTCCGCAGTCTCCGCTCACAGATTCACTTGTGCCAGTTCTCTGTGAAACTTGCAGAATGTTGATTGGTCACGGTACACCAGTACTACTCAAACTGAATTTAAATTAGAACAATTTGATTGGGCCCTCTTTCATATTTATTGGAAGTATAAGTGGCAGTCTCGTTACTCTAATATCTGCAGTCCGACCACAGACAGTCCGACTAGTGTCGCGAGGCACGACAAAGAGTTGTTCACGCGCTGTGTTTGGTTAGTCGATTTGGCTACTTGAACGTTGTCTGACATGAATAATTATGTAGGTATTTTGAAACTTGCTAAATGTGTCCTTATCCACCACCACAACTAATTTTTTTTCATAAATGCGTTAGGCATACATATCTAATTATCTATTAACTAGTTCTACCCCCGACCCCCGGTGACTGCAATGAATCACACTGCGCAAGCGTTGTTTCATGGCTCTTCGTTTAAAATTGAAATTTAAAATGTATTGGTTTACGTTCAAACCATGTCTAGCCTATGCCTATTTTTATAAGTTGTCAAAGTCAAAATCATTTATTTCAATTTTTAAACGTCAACTTCAAAAGTGAAGCTAGTTTCTTTTCCAATGAGTAGATCCTTTGGAGAAGAACTCCATAGATTCCTCCTTTTCAATAAGGTTTACGATGGTATTTCAACATTTGTCAAATAGCCAAATTGATAGAAAGAGAGAAATGCAGCGATGCACCACGGCGTGTTCACCTCGTTACAGTCAAACTACATCTAGAAACATCCGTGTAGACTGGGTCGCGGCACTAATGCAATATATCAATAACTTGTGGTTCGATTCTCTCCGGAGCGATGGCGTGGATGGTGCTGCCATTAAATGGCCGCCAATAGCCCCTAGTATTGTACATATTTTATTACTCCCAGCGATATCTTCTTGTAAATATCACAAGGTAATGACGTTCAAATAAAAAATATCCGAGCGAGTCCGCAAGTACCTAAGATTTCTTATTTTCATTCATGGCGGGTTTATTCTCGTGGTTCCCGCATAATGTAGCCAAGCTCGTAATACCACTTCAACGAATGGCCAACGAGAGCTTCACAAGTGTAGTGTGTACAAGTGTCTGTCAGTCTGTGCGACGACTCATCGACATGTTTACTGGACACTCGGGGGCAAGGGATCGGACTATCGGAGCTAGTGCGCTATATCTTGCGATTGGCTAAACCGACTTTGATGCGGTTTTCAGAAGTGTTTGTTGCACATAGAAGAAGATTGAGTTGGTATATCTAAACGTATCTAGATTCTAAAATAATGAAGTACCTATTGAAGTTACAAAGAGTTCTGTAAAACGACGGCAGTCCATTTGTTTGCTCCCGAGTATATCAGTAAGAGCCGACCTGTCAGGTCGTCACTTATACACTAACACACTACGTTACTTCCATGTGATCGTTTCTTTGAACTGAATTTCCAATGGGAAATTGGTGAACAAACCAACATTTGTCCTAACTTTTGAATAATTCTGGATTAAAAGTTTAGGAAACGATCTCCCTTGTTCAGTTTGATTCTTACTTCCAGAGACACCCAATGTGCAACATAAACAAAGGTTAAAAGTCAAAAAGAATTTATTTTAACATAACGGTACTCGGGTACCGGTACTCTTGAAACGACAAACAATATACTTGTGTACCTTTCATTTATTTGTACATTGAATGGAGACACTCCATCGGTAATACAAGTGTCTGCAGTTCTGCACGCGGTACCAGCTTGCGCGAGCAAGTAGGTTGTAACCCAAGATTTCGCAAAACATTGTAAATATTGAAGAACAGTTCGGTTCTTGACTTCCATTAAATAGTAACTAAGAATTAAAATAAATTAATTTTGAAATAAATCTGTTTTTCATTATAATTATACCTCTTGTTAATGTGATTGTCAAGATTTCCGTGATACATGTCGTAAGTCGTAATAAACGTCGAAAAATGTCCAAACTATTATCAACTACCATTAAATTATCAAAATCAATACATAGTATAAAACAAAGTCGCTTTCGCTGTTTGTCCGTATGTATGCTTAGATCTTTAAAACTACGCAACGGATTTTGATGCGGTTTTTTTAATAGATAGAGTGATTCTTAAGGAAGGTTTGTATGTATAATACATGCATATTGCACCCGTGCGAAGCCGGGGCGGGTCGCTAGTTAAATATAAAGTGATTTTTGCAGAGCACCAAGCGGTTGTAAACTTGTAAGTTTTAATCTGAACTTCTGCCTTTAATAAGAGAAAGTTGCTATAAAGTATGGTCAGAATACTTCGACATAAGGTCACTTACTAAAGGCATTTGATATAAAACAATACAACCGATGCTTCCTCGTGCTCTCTGGTTCGGTGAAGGCGGGATGAGTAGACAAGAAATCGTCACAGCTTTAGTCTAGGCTCCGATCTCGACATATGCCTCTTAATAGTTTCGGATTCATGATACATAAAGTCGAATCACCAAATTGTGCTGTATGTGATGTTGTAGAGGATGTGCAACACATTTTGTATGAGTGTCGACGTATTGAGTCTCAGGGGAATCAGGTTTTTAGTTTTAAGAGCTTTAATATTGGTTTTTATCAGTGTTTTAGAGTCGCCATTGTCATCTGAGGCTAGAAAATTGTATAGTTTAATTATTTTGTGTTTGAGCTTAAGGGCTAGTAAGTTAAACCTATAAACGGTTTAGCTGCTTTATTTTTTGTATTGAATTTTGTATCATATAATAGGGCTGACATGTTCCTCTAAGGAAAAAGCCCTTCTTATTAAATAAAGATTTTAAAAAATTAAATTGTGTGCGAAAAAAAGCGGAACGACAGAAGACAGATGTCATGGATAAGAAATGACACGTGACATCGACAGAATACTGATGACAAACGATATATTAACAAGACGGTTCTCTCGGTTGCAAAAAAAAACAAAAAGTAAAGACGGTCAACGTCAGGGTAAGAGTGAGAACAAGAACGAGTATGGAAGTGGACATGAAATAAGAATTACTGACTGCCTCGTTGGACGAGTGGTCGCAAGTGCGACTGCCGGGCAAGGAGACTCGTTATTACTGGGTTTTAAACATTTATCCGTAGTTGCACGGAGTCTGGAATTGTGCCCGGTATATGGCAATAGGCTCACCTCCTATTACATGGGACTCATAACATAAAAAGTGGGTGTTACATTGTACAGTGGCATAATGTGCACCTCCGCCTACCCCTTCGGGGGTAAAAACGCGTGATGTTATGTATGTATGTATGATAGTGTGATATGAGAGTAAAAGTGAGAGTGAGAGTGATAGATAGACACTAACCGCCACATCTGTCCAAGTGACATCTGACAAAACGACATCTATCAAAATGACATGTATTAAATTTCAAATATAGGTAATTATGTATTTAATATATAATATACCACCCGACACTGGCAGTATAATCGACAACATCGTATTGGAGACTCGGTTGCCAAAGAAGAAAAATAATATAAAAAATGGTTGCCTGTAAAGTCGTTTTTACGGGCGAAGATTTTACGTGACAACGTCTTTCTTTTATTTTATTATTATTATTATATTTTTTAACATGTGTCTTATGTAACTATTTTATTTTCCTTAAAATTATTCTTCGTTGCTTCCGTCCGTGCGTCACTGCAGGGGTGCCAACTGAAAACCAGTGTTGGGTACTTACTGTGCCCAGCTCAAACTGAGTTGGCGAGCCCTTTCGTCGCGGACATGCTGCCACCCTGCTTTTTTTTTTATTTTGCTTTTTTATGTTTTTTTGCCTTCATTGTTGTTTTATTTTTTACTGCTGTTTTTTGTATGTTATTATTGTTTTGTTCTTATTGTTTTTTATTTTATTTTATTTCTTTATTTTTGTTTTTCAATGTTATTTTTTTTATTATTTTGTGTGTTATTCGGTGGTCCATGTCGGTGGCGAATAAATTATTTTTCTTTCTTTCTTTCTTTCTTATTTTTACGGGCGAAGATTTTACGTGACAACGTCTTTTTCTCGGTAGAATATTTATTGATATGAATATAATTAAATTGCACAATAGGAACAAGGAATTGAATGAACTAGTGCTGCGCGCGCGGCAGACCGATCATAGTTGAGTGGGAGAGAGACGCAAGGCATTCGGCGGGCCTCTCTCTCGTTCGGTGACTCATCGTAACGTTACCGAGCGTTACACTTTTTCATAAGTGACTCCCAGCCGCAACCTAATTTAAGACGTTGTCACGTCAATAAATTAAAATATAATTAACATATTTACTTTTCGTTTTTTTTAATAGTTTAGTTGTAGTTAATTTTTAGTTGTAAATATTTATGTAGTTATTAAAGTTGATTAAACTGTAAAACTAATACAAATAAATAAAGAATGCAATATGATTAACATATGTCAAAATGACACTCTTATTATTAATTAATCAAACCCGCAACCTCTCCGGAGGTATTCCTCGTAGCGCTCCCATTTAGAAGCGTGCCCATCTAAGCGCTCCCGTTTTAGTTGTCTGCCCATCTAAGTTCCTCAAAGCGCTCCCATGATTAAACTAACTGAAATTATCGATAAGAACTAGGTAATAAGTAGAACACATTGTTATAATATACAACTAGCGGCCCGTCCCGGCTTCGCACGGGTTTGGTATTTTTTTTTGTTTTATTGTAAATCCTTTAGTCCGCTATGCGATATATAAATAGATAAATATAATCTGCCGACATATGTACGTATTCATTTTTTTATTGTTTAGAAAGCTTATGATTTCTCTCAATTATGTTTCCCATTACTAACCCCTCTCTGCGCACCTCAATGTTTTATTTATAACATCCCCTTTGAATACACAAACAATAACATTGGTTCTTGTATACACACATAAGAGTGCCGAAAGCAAAAATATATTATTCTCTCAATTTCGTAATTTAGTTAAAGCAACTTCGATGTCGATGAAGCACAAATGAGTTTTTAAAAATTATCGATATAATTAATTACGTTAACTTTATGCTTTTCCCTATTTTTGAACTTCGGAGCGCTTCGAGGAAATAAATTTTAATATTTTTAATAGTTCCTCGAACAATAGGTATATATAGCGCTCCGAGGAACAAAAGGGGAGCGCTTAGATGGGCGCGCTTCTAAACGGGAGCGCTACGAGGAATACCTCTCTCTCCGACCTTAGCGAGCCTCTGGTGTTCGGATTCCTTCACCAGCTGGTGGTAGAGATGATCGATGGCTAGTGTCGCCTGGCTTTTGATTTCCGTTTTGAGATTTGTGGCTCGACCCAGTTGACTCCAATATTGCGCCTCCACTTCAATGTTCGAGTTGGCTGAGGGGATTTCGTCGAGGGTGTAGGCTCAGGGGACCACACTCCCTTGGTTTGTAGTCCAGGTTACGCCGGACACTACTTGCCGGGGCCACAATGGGCTGCTTCATCGACTGACTAACTGACCGACGGACTGAACCAACCTCCGCACCGCATTGAGACAACATTGAGAGAGCAAAGTGGGAGGAGCACTTGAAAGAAATAGTTTGTAGCCCTGTAAAGGACAGACAATATTTATACTTAATTTTACTTTTAAGAGATTTTTAGGGGTCAATATAATTTTAAGTTTTTTTTTATATTGTATGTCTGGGGACATATATATCTAACGGATGCTCGGGCCAAGGCGTCCCAATTTTTAAAACTTTCATTTTGGGAACCATTAGAGAAAATAAATAAAAATACATAATACATAAGTTTTATAAAGAATAGATATATATTTAGGATAGAGATTGACGCTACTGTCATTATATTATATCAATATACGTACTTAACGCCAAAATATTCTGCCCTTCACTGGTTCCGTCGGGTCGAGGTCCGGTGTTCTCCGTCATCGTAGTGCCATTTTCACGCAAATGCTCGTCCATGTGTAACATGAATATTTGAGTCGTTTGCGTGGCCTGCCAGGACTTATAACGAGATGGTCTGAGCTACCGGATCCTATGTTCACCGAGTGAAGAGCATCGTCTGCGTTCCTCTTAAATATGTCTGCGATCACGTCTTTCAATTCCCGTTCTTTTATGCAGGTGCCCATCAGCTGCGACGACTCCGTTCCGCGGTACCATATTTTCAGCGCACAATAAGCGGTAACCTCCAGAATGGACAACTTGCGGTATTCGGACCAACGCGGCAAGTTGGTTGGCCTATTCTCAAATTTGTACCTCTTCTCATGAGGGTGCACATAATTTGTTCCCCTCGGCTTTATACCGCGGTGACCCAAGCCACAATCCCCTATATTATGTGGCACGTTTTCCGCTATGTGATTTCTCGTCTTTAACGTACTAGGATCCGCGACGAGTGCAGCGTCAACACCGCCTTTGGACACACATAGTTGTGCTCTGCCCTCCCTAAAGGGGAAACTTTCCAAATGTGTGTCGGTGTCTGATCCAATTGTGCCTGCCTGTGGGACGCCAAATTCCACCTTAGCAATAACTAACGGCCGCTCGAGCCAAGGCGTCCCACTTTTTACGGACAGGGCAGTCCTGGGCGAAAATGGTGTGGCCTGTGTCGCTTTGCCCTTCTCTTTTACAATTTTTGCAGGAAGGTCCCACACCTTCAGCAGACCTAGGGCAATTCGCCTGGAGGTGGGGCCCCCCGCAATAGTTACACAGGTCCACATCCTCTGTGCAATTTTTCCGCCCATGTCCGTAGGCCAGACACCGACTGCACTGGACCAGCGGAGACTGGTCGAACACTTTGACTTGCTGCAGGTCGACGTAGATTCTGCTAGCCGTGGTCAGCCTCTCCCACATGCGAGGTGAGACCTGGAGGACGACGTGGTTCTCGAGAGAGTTCCGCGCCTTCCTCCGGTACTTGATGG